CGGGCTGTGCTCCGGGGTCCCGGCTGAAGGCGGGAGCGTCCTGCTTTGGGGACAGGGTGTGTGGGCTGGGCTGGGCCGGGCCGGAGGAGGCACCGCCTGGGCCGGGGATGAGTGCTGGCATGTATTAGCTGAGCTGAGCTGATGTCTCTCACCGCTTTAGCTCTAGAATTACTCTGAGGCCCAGCGAGCTCCAGGTCCCTTGGGAGGTTAGCGCGGAGCTTTTCCAAACTGTGGGATCAAGGTCCCATCGTCCCAAACTGTGACGCAGCGAGAGGGGGAGGGGGGCACAGGTTGTGTTTTGCTCGGTTCCCACGCTGGGCAGGAGCAGTTCTGGGCTCAGTCCTGGCTGTTGTGCGCGGGGGGGCTCTCCCCTGGCCTGAACTCCATTGTTTGGGGCTTTGTGGCCATATCCGGGGGGAAATGTTGACTCGGGGTGTCCCTGAGTGCCACGTGCGCTGCAGTGCCACGTGTGCGGCCGGGCTGGTGCAGCTCCGGGTGGGAGTGGGCAGGAGGGAACTGGCACCTCCCATCAGCTTTGCCCTAAAACCAGAATGTTTTCTGTCCCACCCAGGTCTTTGGGACAGCCCAGGGCTGTGCCATTTTGGCTGGCCCAGAGCTGTGCGCCAGCATTTTGGAGAGTCTGCAGAGCTGCAGCTTCCGGTGGGGCACGACAGGTGAGGTTTGGGGTGACCCAGCTGCCGGCAAGGTCCCTCTTCCAGGGCGTTTGGATCTCCAGACGGGTCTCCAGCCAGCTGGAAAGGTGTGGGTGCATGTGTGCAGCTCCCTGGCGCTTCTTGGGCACCTGTCAGCTCCCGAGAGACTGATCCGTGGGGTGAGAAAGAAAACAGGCCAGGGGCACTTGTTAGATTGGGTCTTTTTGTGTCTGTAAAATGCAGGTTTGGCAGTTGGTTTCATATTTATAAAGAGGATTTGAACATTCTTTTGTTGGTATCACAGCCTGTGATTTGTTCCATTCCTACCACTCTGCATCCTGGGAGACACACTGATCATCATCCAGGCTCGGACGGGGAAAAGCCCCCGAGCCCCAGGTTGCTCCTGGGAGGAGGTGGTGCAGCAGGGCGGGGGTCACAGGGATATTATGGGGCTTTATCCAAGGGGAGGGTGATGCCCATCCCTCTGCCCATGGTGCAGGTCCTGTGTCACATGGTGGGTGCTGGTCCCCAGCCCCTCAGTGATGGGTGTCCCGTGTCACACGGGCGGTGCTGGTCATCAGCCTCTTGAGCCACCATCCATGTTTCCCACCTGCCCCTTCTCTACACTCAGGGAACAAACAGGCAGAGAGACCTGAGCAGCTGGGGGAGCTCAGGGGGGGAAACCAAACCCATGTGATGGATATTCAGTAATCCAAAGGAGGCAGCCTTCCCTCTTCCTACCCTGGAAAGGTCTGGAAGGCCCTGTAATTTGGAAGCTGGCAAAGCCCTTCCCTGTCAGAGGTGACAAGGAGGTCCCACAGCACCGTGTGGAAAGGGGCCCACGTTGGAGCAGTTTGTAGAGGACTGTTGCCTATGGGATGGACTCCTGTTGGAGAAGAACTGTCTCCCTCCCTCCCAGGAGGGACTCATGTTGGAGCAGGGGAAGGACTGCCACTCCTCTCCCTGAGCAGCACCACAAACAACATGAGATGACCATGACCCGATTGTGACCAGGAGATGACAATGACCATGACTGTGACACAACTGTGACCTGACTCCATCTCTGAGTCCTGGGAGGATGCCCAGGGCATTCCAGTTCCAAGGAGTTGTTTTACCCAACTCCACAACCTCTATTTTTGGCTTCAGGGGATGGATCATCCCATCCCACCCTACCCCACCTCTGCCCACTGCTGATGACAACACGTGTTTGTGTTGCCCAGGTTGGGACATCTCAGCATCTCCAGGGCCAGTGGGGGGTTGAGTCCAGCATTTCAATGGACAGAGAGACCAGGCTTGAACCCCTGGGTGCCCCCTGCCCCCACTCCCAGCCTGACCCTTGCTCCCCCCCGGATGCCGGGATCACCACGGGACGGGGGCGTCACCGTCAGCTTTTATTAACCCTCAACGAAAGTTTCACCGTTGACCCCCCACCCTCTCCCCAAGTCCCACCTGGGGCCCCCCAGCACCCAGGGAGGCCCCTTGCCCCCCTAAACTCCCCCCGCACACAGGGGGCTGCTCCAGCCCCCTCAGTCACGTTGCGGCCGCAGCTTCATCTCGGTGAAGGGGATGGAGACGTTGAAGCCTTTCCAGGGGAACCAGTGGATGCCCTGCGGGGAGGGGGGGTCAGGACCTCCAGAGACCATATTGACCCCTACAGGTTCCATAGACCCTGTGGATCCCTTTAGAACCCCCTAGACCCTATAGAATCCCCACAGACCCTATAGACACCTCTAGATCCCCACAGGCCCTGTAGTACCCAATAGAGACTTATAAACCCCCATAAACCCCGTAGACTCCTACAGACCCCCACAAACCCTTATAGATAGATCCCTATAGACCACCACGGGTTGCCATAGACCCCACAGACCCTAGAGACCCCCAGAGATGCCTACAGACTCCCACAGACCCCTGTAGGCC